ACACAGTCCATCATCAGGTTTTTAAAATCGAAAAATGCTAGGTCACAATGCCTGAGCCACCAAAATATTAGGGTAAAAACCCTTTAAATTACATTTAGTTATGAAATGTTGTACATTTTGTTGTAAAATAACTGTGATGTTCAGTATTAAATTAGACTATAGGTAACACATGGCTCAATCTGGTTCCAGAGCCGGTGAGAGGGTACCTTTCATAACTAAATGTAATTTAAAGGGTTTTTACCCTAATATTTTGGTGGCTCAGGCATTGTGACCTAGCATTTTTCGATTTTAAAAACCTGATGATGGACTATGTGGTCCGAAAACGTTTGTTTTATTGATGTGGCCCTTTTAAGAGTTTTTTAAATAAATATACAAATTTACAAAGATTAACCTCTTTTTGATAGTAAATGACTTGTTCTGCCATTCCAAAACGTTTGTTACAGTCTCCTAAGAGAGATTCTTTTAATTTCTTCCCAATTTCGTATTTAGGTGTACTTCCTTCAATTTTCTTCTTTATATTAAAAATCATTGGAATGACAATGCTACTAGTTGTGTATTTTTCACCAGACAGTTGTTTTGTAGCAGTTTCAAGGGGAAGCAATATATCTTGAACCTCTTTTAGCTCTTCTGCTTCTCGAGCATTAATCATTCCTGGTGCTGATGAATGTCGATTGACAATTTGATTAATTATATCTCTTAATTCGAGAAATCTAGTAATGGAATAATATGTTGAATTCCATCTAGTAGAAACTTCTTGAATTAGTTTTTTCATATTATCTGGGTCTTGGGCTTTTCTTAACTCATCACTAGCATTTACACTGTGCTTAAACCACGTTATTATTTGTTTCATTTTTTTTTAAAGTTCTGTTAAGGGTTCATAAGATCCAATGGCTCGTTCAGCGATTAAATTAATTTGATGTGCAAAACAGTGCAGATGTTTTTTTTTTCCCAAAAATTGTCTCCACTGCATTATTGATGTTTGCAGCTCCATCAGTAATTATGGCCGAAACACGTTCCGTCATAATATGCCAATCTTCCATAATGGTAGTCAATACAGCCCGCAAATATTTTCCTGTATGTGACTGACATAACTCAGTGACTCCCAATACCACAGAATCTATTTTAAGATCATCAACAAAATGTAATGTTAACCCAATAAAACTTTTAGACTGCATCGTTTCAGTCCATATATCTGTGGTTATAGTATACGATGTTAAAGGCTGTATTTTTTGGCGAAACAAATTTGACAAAGCGATGTACTTTTTATCTAAAAGAGCATTAATAGTTTTCCTGGAAGGTATTTTGTAGAGGCCACCAAAGAGCTGCTTAATTAGGTTTTGAAATCCCTCATTATCGACAATGGATATCGGCTGGTAATCCCGACAAATCATATATAGAATGGAATTTGTTATTTTTAAATATTTTGTACCACTTTTACTATAAGATTCTA